TCTTTTTTTTTTTTTTTAGGTAAACCAAACCAGCAGGTGCAAGAGGAGAGCTGATGAAATAGGGTAATATATCATCCACCCAGGCAGGTCGGGAGAGACGCGCGCACACCGCCCAGATTGATCATCGCCCCCATCTCTCCCTCCTTTTTCCATTCCCTACATGCCTAGGGGGGTTAAGCAGGCAACATCACCCACCACGAGGCACACTCCAAAACTAGGCTTTTCTTCCTAATGCCGGGTGCTGGTGGTTGTGTTACGTTTCCAACTGCACCCCACAATCTACCAACCACCACCAGCCCAATTCAGCGTTATTGTGGGTGCTTGGCAGGCAGCTGTCACTACTATCTCCCCTTTCCTCTCTCTCTTTTTGTTCCACCCTCTGCTGCATGCAGTTTTGAGATTTTTTTTTTTTTTCCAAGAAGGTTTCCATAAATTTTAAGTAAGGTAAATTTACCATTGCTAATACTACACCAGAGGATCTATTGCACTGGCAAACTATTGCAGTTTTATTATTGCCAGTGATATACCACGTTTAGATGAGTAAATGGGTGGAGAGCGAAGTGAAGCAACAGGTCATCCAAAAAAGCAGTGATCGATGGAGACGGGCCCCACTCGCATAGGCGCACTGTAGCATTGCAAAACAAGGCTTGCATTGGTTGGTGGCCCTTATGCTGATAGATTACCGGGTAAGAAGAGCAAGCCTTATTTTACACCAGTAGAACACGTCTATCCTGGCTTTTTTTAAATAACTGTAGATGCACTTAGTGCAAAAAACAAGCAAACAAAAATCCTCCCAAAATACCAATCACAGCCAGCAAAACAAAGGTCTTTCCTTTTAATTACTATTCTTTTACAGCATTATTATTACTGGAACATGTGAAAAGCCAAGTATTTGCCCCCAAGAGTTTACATATAAGTTAGGGCAAGTCTCCATGCGTGAACAAAACAAACATTTCCAGTGTCGTGGAGTAGGGGACGATAATGAGTGGAGATTGATGGTTACGGCAATATTGTCAGGAATTGTATGTTAAGGACACCTGCATTGCAGAGGTCATGAATATATTCAGGGAAAACTTGTTTTATTCCTGTGAGATGCTGTTGCTAGAAGCAGTACCATACCTAGACTCCTGGCGGTCCTGGGTGAACTTTTAGTATCAGGCCCCTTTTCAGTCCGGGCCCTGGCCACCTGGTTCACCCGTGCCTGTGTCCGGCTCTGGCTAACGGGCAGATTAGATTACACCTGGTAGAAAGACCTGAAGGAAGTCCTTGGAACAAAAGTAGAGGCAGAGGCACCAAGCTAAGTGGTGTGGTGTGGCTGAAGACCGAGGCAAGAGATGGAAAAAGTGGGTATGAGGTACATGGTTTAAGCCAGAAGTGGCCAAACCACGGCTCGCAAGCCACATGAGGCTCACCAGCATGGTACTTGTGGTTCCCCCACTTCTCCTGGGCCTGCCAGCTTAGGGGCTGGGCTGCCAGGGCAGGGACTGCAGCTGTGCCGCTTACCCCAGGGCACGCTCTCTGCGGGGAAAGCCAGAGTGGTTTGACACTACGGCAATACTGCAGCTCCCAGGGTGAGTAACTCTGGCCACCCCTGGTTTAGGCAAAATGAAAGGGACTGAATGGTGACATAAAGGCTGGCAGGGACTAAGTCATGCCTTGAAGTCCACTTGACAACATGTCTTTGCAAAAGTGCATCACACATAACATTTCCTATGAAGGAGACTGTAACATCACAGTCCCCAATTCATTTTATGGGTCAATATCTGAACAGCTTAGCTTCAAATACAGCAAAAGGAAGAGCATGCAGGAGACTGCAAGATGCAATGCAAGTCTGAGCCCATTAAAGATTCCTCACAATTTTTGTGTCAGACAGGCATGCACAAGTTGTATTTGCATCAATGGAAAAAAACATCACCGCTGAAAAATTGGTGCAATTAGATGAACAGACGGAGCAAAATGTTTTATTCTTTAATGGTCGTGTCGGATGCAGTCTGAAAATCCTGCCGAGATTCCAAGAGATCTCGCATGCCCGTGTGGTAAAGTACATTTTAAAGCCCCAGAGGACACAGTAACATATGGGACTCTAAACCAGAAGTCTGTCTAGGCATCCCTAAAATTTGGTGTATAGAAATGCTTTTTAAAAAACCTTAGTTTATCACCAGGAGAAAGGTGCCCAACTTTGGAATATGCAATCTTCCCCCTCAGTGTGTTACCAGTGACCGCAAAAATCAAGGCCAGATGCTCCCATCTGCTACATGGCATTGAGTGGAACAGAAATGAGCCAGAAGAGCCTCAACTACATGGAGTTGCAGATGCAACACCTCTGTGGCATCTCCTGGATCCCAGAAAAATGCAGCTTGCTAGTTACCACCTAACCTACCCTGTCCACAAGCACGTACGCAATCCATGCAGTTGCAGCTCTGGAGTGAGGGAACCCAGAGGCAGAGGAGCTACACTGGAGAAACCGGTGTCTACACAGCATGGTCGCCTCTGCACTGCACCAGTTGCTGCTGGAAATCTACTTTTTGTTAGTGCTGATGGAAGCAGATGAGGCCTTCACGATCAGCTCCTCTAGAGGAAGTAAGTTGCAGTCAGCAGAGGGCCCAGGTCAGCATGGCTGTGAAGGTGCTGCTCCTCTGCAAAAGGGAAGAGAGGTGATATGAGAAGTGTAGGTACTACATTTTTTTAGGTGATCCATGATTTGGGATTCCTAATCTCTTTTCTCCACCCAGAATCCACATCACAGCAGTGTCCGTAGGTCTATGACCTGAAGAAGAATGTCTTTCATTCAAAAGCATGTCTAAATCTATCCTGGCTTCTAAATCTATTCCAGCTATGCAGTTGCTCCAGTAAAAGATATCACCCTAAGACGTCCTTGCCTCCGGTTATTTCAAGGCACCCAAAAGATGGGTGTAAGTCTCCACGAAGTGTCAAGGTCTCAGGCTTTTCTCTGGGTAGGAGTTTGAACGTAAGACAGCTGCACATATCGGTTCTGCCTTTCGAAATGAGGCTGATTTGTCAGGTTTAGCCTTAGGGGTATTTCTAATACCTGCTCTTTACTTGTAATGATGAAACAGGATTGAAGATGTCTTTCAGTCCCTTCCAGCTCCAACATCTTCTGCAGTGGATATATAGAGGGCAAGAGGCTGTAATCCAGCCAGTAGCTAATACATCTCACAAGGACAACATAAAGGCACTTTATTAAACCAAATTTAGCCTTCCTCAGCCTATAATCACAGTTCTGTGTTACCCTGTGGATCTTGCCAGGTTCTTTAACGCTCAGCTAGAGAAACCTCACTAGAATTTCTAAAGAATAATGGGAAATAATTGCCTGTTTTAATGTCTGAAAGAAAGAGAGGCTTCCAAATCTAATGTAATCATCTCTGCTTCTATGAGACAGAGAAAATGAAGGTGCCCTAAACATGACAAACACAAAATGATACGCACAGAAAAGGGGAAGAAAGCTACATAAAGCTGTCTTTTGTAACTGTCCAAAAGAGACTGAGAAGGCTGAAAATGGATTGCAGCAAAGATGACTTAAAAGGGAAGCTGTCAACCTGCTTCATTCTGCCCATTCACATCTTCATGCGCAGTTGATTACATGTATGGGGAAATACTATGTTCACTGGTAAGAGTTTGGGGGGGTGGGAGAGGACGTGCTGATGGCCAAGAGATCTGGGTGTTTGAATTCCCTTGTCACTGATTCCTAACTTCCCTGTGCTTCTATAAAAATAGGTACGGTAATATTCACCTACATTTGTAAAGAAATTCTTAGATAAAGGAGAACACACAAAGGGAAATGGTATCACGTCTATGGAAAATAATGATAATTAATAGAAGTTTCAAACCTACTTACAGCAGATTCCTAAATTTGAAGTAGGCACAAAAGTAAAG